GGAGGAGAGAGGGGGCTAGGGTTTTGGGAGGGGGGGGGGGGTTTTTGGGGGGGATTTTGAGAGAGGATCAAGAAATTGAAAATATCGAGTTGGCTCCTTGGCTCTCTCGGGATTTAGAGAGAGAAAGCGAGGGAAGAGAGGAGAGAGTGACAGGTAGAGGGGGTTACTAATCGCTCTCTCTCTCTCTCTCTCTCTCTCTAATTAATAGGAGGTTGTTTATACTTTCCCGGGCTATTAGGAGTGGATTTGGGGATTTGGGCCGGGGAATTTATTAACCATTGGGTAATAAATTAAGGCTAAATATCAGAAAACTCCCATCAACTTTGCACCATTATCAAATCTTTCAAAATATAAGAAAACCCCTTAAACTTAGAGTTTATTAAAAAAATCTAATTTAATTTTTAACAACTCCTTTGGTACGTGGAAATTGGATCGATTGAGAACGAACGGAATGGAGCAAGAAATGAAATGTAATGAATGTAAGAATGGAATGTTTTGGGCGCAGTCAGAAATTGAAGTGGAAATAAAGATCATTTCATTTTTATTTTATTTTATTTTTTGTATGAATAATTAATAAATAATTTGGGAATATTTTGAATGAATAATAATTTTTTTCCATTCCAACCTAAGCGGTAATGTATATTCCCTACCGACTCATTAAGAGTGTCCACGAGGTAATGATTTAGTAGTGGGGAATTCTAGCTTCTAAAAATTTTGTGGGCTTGGTATCCATAAAAACCACGTTTAAAATAGGTCAAATCAATAAAAAACACCTTTGAATTTTTTTTATACATAAACCATCTTATAAGTGGGTTTAGTTTTTAATAAATCACTTTTTATTAAATTTTGCTCAATTAAAACCGCAGTTGCCTAAATTACTCTCATTAATTACACATGTAGTTGCGAAACACATGTTAAGCACATGTAATTGATGAGAATGGTTTATATATTTTAGGTATTAATTGAACAAAATTTGATGAAAAGTGATTGATTAAAAAGCAAAGCTACTCGTCAGAGGGTTCATGTATTAAAAAAATTCAAAGGTGCTTTCTAAGGTTCGAACTATATTTTTAAAGGTGGTTATTCATTGAAAAAACCTAAGTTAATCAGAAGGTAAGCATTGGCAAAACAACCCCAAGAGAGAACACATATTTTAGGGAATGAAAATATATTTAATCCCTTTTTCTAAAACCACAAATGTGGCAATGTTTTATTCTTTTAAATCATATAGAAAGTGTTACAATCCCGCCTCCCTCCAAAAAGAATTAAAGCACGTGTCGTTTATTATTCTTGTTCTTCTAACGGATTGTAAGCTTAATTTTTTGGGAGGTAAGTTACAAATAAACCCCTTCATTTATACCTTTAATTAATAGCAAATAATCCCATTCAACTTCATTTGTTAGCAGTGGCGTAGCCAGGAATTTTTTTTGCCCTGGCAAAAAATCGCTGGGCTACGTCACTGCCATACTACCTCCATCACCAGCGTCCTCCTTGGTTTCCACGCGAAGACGAGCAACATGAGGACGGTGATCCAGATCACCACCGTGGCCGGAACAGCGACGGAGAGGGTGGCGCCCATGGAGAGGAGGCCGAAGACGCCGCCGTAGAGAACGGAGGCGTAGAGGGCTGGCCAACCGACGGAGAAGTAGGAGCTGGGATGTAAAGAGCCGGCCGTTTTCTTGCCCTGGGCAGCTGCCCAGGGCAAGAGTACCCTGGCTACGCCCCTGTTTGTTAGCATTTCTTTTTGATAACTTAGCTAGCTACGAGTCAAACACAAAGTCATGGGAGTCGTATTGGAACCTCCCAATTGTCTCATCCGTCCGTGTAATTAACACTTAGCATAGTAGATTATCGTTATTAGAAAAATAAATTGCATGTGCCAACCATCTCCCTCTCATGCGTTAAGAGGGCTATAAGCCTTAAATAATTAAGTCAAGGGAAATTATATGGTGGCTCAAAAGTGTAGAAGAGGGGGATTATATATTTACAATTTATTCTTTTAAATACTTGATAATTAACTATTGTTTTCTTAATATGTACTCCCAAAACCCTTGCAAACAAAGTCTGTTACTTTGCTCTTCATGTTAAGCTCGTGAAAGGAGTTGCATCAGTAGTACGCTAACTTAACTTCATTTGGTTGTCAGTAGCAATTGGTTTCGTCCACATCCTAAATGAATTCATCATGAAGTCTTTATCTTCTATAATTGGTAGCGCATCAATCTATATTGAGCAACGCACTACCCTTCTTATTTCTTATCTAGCGTAGAGATTTTACTTGTCAAGTCTCTCTAACATCTATAAATAAATGTACTCATGAATTAGTGAGAGTTATCTTTCTCCTCAATATTCGTGCTCTAACAATTATAAAGAGTATTTTGGTAATCTTGTCAGATTTAATTAGAAGTTTCATGTTCATTTTCTTCCACGTGTAAATGTTGAGTGGTATGGATCAGATATCCCTTTTTTTCCTTGGTTATGTGGAGTAATCAATTTGAAACCTCAAACTTTTTAATCACGAAAATTTTGAGAAAAAAATAATAATTAATAAATCAACTTTTTCTGTCCATTTTTGGTCTTCTAATCCCAACATTTCATATACAATTTAAGAAGCTTGAGAAAAGATAACAAGTATTAGAAATCTAGGATGCTAGAATAAGTTTCATACAAATTAGATCTTTTTAAACAAGATATTACCAAATATCTAATGGGATAACTCGCCAATCCAATATTTTACCAAAATTGGATCCTCTCCATTATAAAAAAAAATAGCGAAGAGATCACTGTTTTTTTGGTTTGATGAGGGAACTTCCCCACGATCCTTCAAACCACATGTATCAAACCAACAGGTGTGGCTAAGAGGCACCCCCCAAACGCACGACATTGCGTATTTCAGGGAATTAAATTCCTGTGGATGCTCACCGGGAGCGTCAAACATGAGATCTTGGAGTACTACTCATAGGTAGCTTACCAGTTTAGCTAAACTCTCTTGAGTGGAGATAACTATTTTTAATCTTAATTGTTAAATATTTAATAAGTGATTATGATACATTCAAAATATAACACTCATTATACCTATTGTATTGCACACATTCTTAATTTGCACTAAAAAATAAAATTATAATCACCTACTAAATAATCAAAATGAGCGGACCCACCTTAGAAGAACGGGTGTTATGTGACACCACTTTCCTCCGTCGCATTCCCCTATAAACTAAGGACATGTGTGCTTAGAGGTGGAGAGGTCCCAACTTAGGAGGTTCGATTTTGAAGAAGACAAGTGGCGAGTTTTTGTTTGCTTGCTTCTTCGGGTGGAAGAAGAGGAAGGAACAACAATGACACTATTTTCTTTTGTTTTCAATAGAGTCTAAAAGAGAACTCGAAGTGGAGGGAGGGTAATGAACAATATTTATTTTGTATTTTTTGTTGAAAAAGTTAGGGGGCTAAAATATCAGAAGTCTATAAAGTAACACATATTTTCTAATAAAACCTAAAAACTGACACCGACAATAATAAAACCTAAAAACATTTAACCAATAATGCCTACTCCGGTAGCTAGCTAAAATTTTGATTTGAACGGCAAAATTAATGAGAGAAGAGAGAGAGGTTGATGTTAAAGTAAGAGAGAGAGAGTATTGCGTAAATTTTCCCTTTAGGGGCTGTTTGGTTCGTTTTTTAACTCGGTGGAAAAGTTTTACACCTCCTCCACATCATATTTTTCGTGGCCATATAGGATATAAGTTTTTCGTCTATTTTTTTCCCATCTTTGGTTCGCTAGGGTTGAAGAAGGGAAACTCGGTGAAAATCGCCGACACATCAAATTTTTTTCTTTCCCCTAATTCTTTCCTCAACCTCATGAAATCGACGAAAACTGCAGCCACGTCAGCTTTTTGCTATATAAACAAAAGTTTTCCCTTTTTTTCCATGCGAACCAAACACAAGAAAAATAAATACATTGGTTTTCCATTATTTTTTTTGTGCGAACCAAAGCGAAACAATTTATTTCTTGGAAAAGTTTGGAAAACTCAAAACTTATGTTTTTGTACATGGAAATGCATTTCCCTATATCTAGAAAACGAACCAAACAGCCCCTTAGTTGAATATTGAGTGTCACATATATTTATACAAGTAGAGGAGGGTGAGGTGTGTTCTCACAACCAATGTGGGACTAAAAACCAACTTCTAACACTATTATCAACACTATTATCAACAGTCCCCTCAAACTCATGTTGGATCAAACAAAGTGAGTTTGCGTACAAGAAACTGGAACCGATGAACATATAAGGTCTTTCTGAAGAAATCTGCAAGCTCGTTGGCGGATGACACATGAGGAAGTAGAATTATCTTATCATTGATAACTTGACAAAATGAGCATCGATCTCAATGTGTTTGATCCTCTCATTAAAATCTGGATTATTAGCAATCTGATGCTCACGTCGGAGACCTACAACGGAGTAATGCCGATGTTGAGACGTTGAGACGTCGAGAATGATTATAATGGCGATGTCGTTACTGACTGTGAAACGACAACGTCGTTTGTTTGAGGCCGAGAGACGGCTTGAAACGACGATACCATTAATTTGAGACCGAGAGACGGTCTTGAAAAACCGATATGTCGTAAAGTTGAGATCAAGAGATGATCTTAAAATGGTAATGCCGTTAAAATATAACCCCGAAGATTAAAATAAAACCCGAAGGCTAAACGAGAACGCGAAATGCGTTAAGAGGTCGTAAAGCGGCAATGCTAAAAATCTGGCAGAGGAACGCAAAAAAACGTTAAACGACTGCAAAGCAGTAAGGCCAAGATTTGGCAAAAGAACACAGAAGCGTAAAAAAAAATTTTATTGAAAGTGAAATAATAACCCTACCTCTGATACCATGTTAAAATAAGAGAGAGAGAGAGAGAGTTTTGGATAAATTTTCCCTTTAGTTGAATATTGAGTGTGTACATATATTTATACACGTAGAGAAGGGTGAGGTGTGTTCTCACAACTAATATGAGACTAAAAACCCACTACTAACACTATTATCAACACTATTATCAACAATTGAGAAGAGGACTAACGTTATAGAAGGAGAGAGAGGAGGAGGTAAGGGTGATGATTTTTGGGAAGAGGAAAGAGGAAAGAGGAGAAGGAGTGGGAGAGGGGAGGATAAAAGGATGAGGCATTGAAAATAATTAAATTTTATAAGTGCAAATCTATAATTGAGGAATATTTGAGGGGTATATATGAAAAAATATTTAAAATTTTCCGCTCAAGTTAAAAATTCGACAATTAGGAGCTTATTAGTTGGATGTGTTAATTGTTAGGTCTTATTCTCCCTAGAGACAGTTTTTAGGCCTTATTGAAAAAATAGATGTCACTTTATAGGCTAATCAGATTTTTAAAGATTTTTTAGCCAAAGGTAGAGCAACAGACTAACAGATCAAAGGCCACGTGAAGTGTTTGGAAATTTTAGATTATTCTAACAGATTTAAGATTGAGAGGAAATAAATGTAAGGCTAGGATTTGATCTAAGATGATCTAAATAAATAACAAAATGAAGAAAATAATGACATAGTTTATTGGTTAGATCTAATAAACTTAAACTTTGGAGAATGATATCCAATATATAGGCCTCAAATATTATCCCTAATATATTTTTAAAATCAAAATCTATTTGCCATTACATGCACCCCTTAATTCCTACTACAATTTGAATTCCATGACTAATCTTATTAATCAAAATTTATATTCAAATCAAACTATAAAATTATAAGAAAATAGACTCATCTAACATAAAATTTAAACTCTTAACAACCCTATTTTCTATTACCTAGAATCAGGTAAGTGAGTTAAAATTGTCTTACATCAGTAAGGATTGAAGTTTCTAAAATGCAACCCACTTTGGTAGTTTCATTGATAATGTGATTGTATAATTTTTCAAAATACAGTTATAAATTTTTGTAAATTATTAACCATGCAGCATCACGTCACTTACTACATTTATTGGATCCGCCTGATAATAAATAGTTATGATTAAGTAGTGATCGCGTCACTATTTTTTTTTTGGGTGTTGCAAAAGATCCAAATCCTATTTTACCCCATATAAGAAGGCTCAAATCCATCTTTTAGCTTAGAGTCAATAATTTGCCTTCTATCGACATTTCTCATTTCCTTTTGTTTTTTCGTATACTCTTTAGTCTTCGAATACTTCATGTCTTTTGACGTAGATATATTCTACAATAGTGCTGCTACAGGAACCTTAAAATAAGGGACCCTACATAGGACATGTGAGGTGTCGCTTCCCTGTCCCGTGATACACTGTTCATGATGTACTGTTTATGAACAGTACATCACAGGACAAGGAGGCGACACCTCACATGTCCCATTCAGGATCCCCTATTTGAGTCCCCTATTTTAGTGTCCCTGAGGCATTTTTCATTCTACAAACATGATATATGGATCAATAATATCATGATAGTCCAGTCATCAGATTCATCATGATTTTTGGTAGTAGATCCTATGAACGCATTGCATAGAACCTAAATTAAGAAAGGATGTTATGGATTAATCAATGTGAACGGGACCGACTAGTTAATTAAACACAGTAAACAAAATGAAATTAAAAGTTCAATTCTTCTGTCAATATGCTAACGTCACACTACACGTAACCCCTACAGCGTCAAAACAGCAGTTTCGTCCAGCGGCGCACATTAGCACTAGGGGGATTTTTTTTTTTAAATTCTCAAATAATAAT